GTAAAGTCCTTCCAGACGACTGCTGTTGTGAATTAGGGCTATACAAAATTATATTGAATAGAATTATTAATTCTAAAACACCAGACTTCTCTGCAGCCTCTGTCCTGGACTCATCCACAGCCCCAGTCTTGGATCCACAGCCCCAGTCCAGGATCCACAGCCTCAGTCCAGGATCCACAGCCTCAGTCCTGGCTCTACAGCCTCAGTCTTGAATCTACAGCCTCAGTCCTAGATCTACAGCCTCAGCCCGGAATATACAGCAGAAGAATGAAGCATGAGTGTCTATTGACAGGTGATGCTCCAGGACTTTTATCTATTTCCTTGTGAATTCCAGTGAACATTGGTTAATCTGTGTTTACAAAATCAACCTTTGTGAACCAACAATCATTAACCCATATAGATTGATGTTATGATCTGTGTAGTGGAAATTTAAATACTTCAATGAATGGATCCGAGAGAAAACAGCTTGTCTTTGTGCAATTTATTTAAAAAGTGATGAGAATAAACAAACATAATAAAACTCTGCAGAGTCAGACAGAAGCGACGCACTCAAAGCCTGCGTCGTCTCTCTCTGGTCTGCTCACATCTAACATTTGATAATATAGTCCTGCAAAATGATCGTTAGTGTTAAAATAAAGTGTTAAAAATGAACACTGCTTTATTCAACACCAACACCAGTTAAGTGTGAAGACAACAAAACTCAGTGTTGGAAATCATTAACACTACAAGGTGTTAAACAGAAATGGCACTAGCAGGTGTCAAATTTCCAAATGTAATAAAAGACAAATAGCAGAAATTGTATGGAAAAAGTCCTTTGTATTGAAAATTCAATGCATATTAACAAAACTGCAGTGAGGTACAATAAACATTTTTTCATCATTTTCAGGTGAAAACTGCCTGTCGTATGGTCTGTAATAGAAGAGATTAGCCAAACAAATTACACAGAAAACATCCTCTAACTCTTCAAGGCAGAATGCATTCAGATGATCATTGAAATGCATGGTACAAACTTCAGTAGCCAAAAAAAACACTTCTTCCTCTTTGATGATGATATTGATAATCTTCTTGAACACAGGCATTTCATTTTTAACACTAGCACAAACGAACATTCCTTTCTGATACTCAGTTCCATAGACTTTTACCCAGGAAGTCGTGGACACACTAGACACATTCAAAGTTGGAGTGGAACTCAAGGCAACACTGCCGTCCAAATTGCTAGTCAAGACATGTTTAACTGGGCCAAACTGTAATCTTTTGAAATAAAAATTCTCCCAATGAAAAGCCAACTGATGCTGATGTTTCTTTACTAAAGTTTTAGTTAAGTTTTTAAAACTTTTCACAGACCTCTTGAAGAAATTGTGCTTCCCTTCAAATCGCATACACCACATGTGTATAAGTGGACCTATTTTCCTAATACATCGGGGGTAGTGTATCATTAGATGATGCTTTGGGATGAGCCTCTTATCTGTAAACACCAACTTAAAAAGTTTGTGATGGTCAGAAATTAGGTGTTTCAAATAATAAGTCATACCATCTGTTATAATAGGTGAGAATACAATGTTGACGATCTGAATCAAAAGCATAATAACATTCCAATGACTGTTATTGTGAGCAACTAGGTCACCAAAAATCAAGGGAGTATTTCGCAAAAGGCACCAGGACTGGATGGCATTGAGCCCGAGATCATTTCCATCATCATCAACTTTGACTCCACTGGGTCTGTTCTTTCTCTCACTGTATCCATAGTTAAAGCTCTGAATCCTTTGAGAGAGGGTGTTTAAAGAAATGTAGTCCTTCACCAAATACTGAAAAAGAAGCTTTAACTCATACTGCACAACACCTTCTAGTAGGTCATGCATAAGATCCACTGCATAGTTGTCTGAGCAATGAAAAAAATGCAGAGCATTTAGGGGACAGGTTCTTTTGACACCAAATGAGTGAACTCGAGTGGGATTTTGTGCCATGGCATTGCAGTGTTCAGAGTACAGCTCCTTTGTGCGAAGAATTAAGTCTGGGACATCCTCACTAAAGACTGACTACAAACATGTCTTGTCAGTTAAACAAAATCGACAACAGTAAGTGGCACTAAACGATTCAACCATACCAAAAAGTCCATGTATAGCCAAATTATCCCCAGTAACCTGAATAATAGACCCCTTAATTGGCACATCTGAAAAGGGTACCTGGATTCCCTGTGTCTCCAAAACTTTTAAGTCATGAACTAGAGGCTGTAGGATTGGCTCAAAACCATATTTTTTCAAGTCCTCTGAATGAAATAGTGCAACAAGATGAATGTTCATCAAAACAGAATTCAGTTTCATTGGTAAATTTCTTAAAATAAAGTAAACACAGCCAAGTTTGTGAATTCCCTTTTTAGATCCTAGCGGATTGGCAGTTTCAAAGTCATCATAATAAAGCTGAATTTGAAGAGCATGTTCTTGTTGTGAAAATAATGGATGATTTCTGAAATATGAACCATCATTGATATCTTTGAAAAGGCCATCTTCATGAAGCTTTACTTGCTGGAAACAGTTGCAGAGTTCCTGGTTGGTGAACATTGACTCAAGAGTTCCCAAAATAGGCACATACACAAATTTGTCGTTCACAGGAATTTGAGTGTACACACCAGTAGTCCTATCTTTGCGTAGATCATAACGCACACCAAGAACATGCTCTACTGGCTCCACAATTTTCCATTTCTTCTCAAAATGTCTTTGCCTCTTAGTTTCAGTATTGAGGGATGAAAAGGGATTTTCAAGCTGCTGAAAACAGTCTTCAACTTTATTTAGAGTTTCTTCAGTTACTTCAGATGAAATAGTTTTAAGAACAGCATCCTGCGCTTGGACATGAACGTCATTGACTAATTCCTCCATTGAACTAACTAAAGACTGCACAGTACCTTCGGAAACTCCAGAGGCCTGTACTTGAGCCACAATAGAGCAACACATATCCAGTAACTGTCTTTTTTCAGAAGCTGGGTTACTAATGACAGAAACTGCAATTAGTGGATCAGGAACATGACCACTACTGTCACCCTGGTCCATAGGGCCAACAGAACAAGAGGCTACAATGTCTCTGTGTACTCTCATTAAATGTTTCTTGAATCCACAATAGGTGTAAAAAACAGAAGAACACCCATTCTCAACACATTTCAAACGCAAAGTACGTCCTGGATACATAGCATGACTGAACTTCAAATGTTGAAAAAAAACAGAACAAGTTTTGTGCTGCAACTTGCAAATGAAACAGGTGAACATTTTCAAACCTCAATATGATCCATTTTTGCCCGTATTTCCTTGACCCGTGGACTCTCTTTGGTCGTGCCGATGTCAATCCCATATACCGTTGTCTGAATGAAGGTGTAGAAGTTGCACAAAGCCTCGTCATAAGATACAGCAAAGACAAAGTGGGCCTTAAACAGTTCGTCGAAGGCAGCCACAGCTGTCTGCGCCACGCAGGGAATGGCCTTCTGATCGAGGATGATGTAAAACTTATGGATGCTACTCTTCTTTTCTCCAACACAGAGGAGGAAGGGCTGTGCTGATCCAACTCTCTCAAGGAACGTCACCATGCTCGTCCCCACCTAGAGTGTTTAAGGGGAAATTAGGAATAGTATTTTGTGTTGTTTAAAGTAGTACTAGAATTGACCATGCTGCTATCCAGCATATATAACTATAATATGTGTTTATAATATTTCGGGTGTTCATTTTGACATGTTAAGATGAATAATCTTAATGTTTGAAGTGGCACTTTTTCACTTCCGCATAATAGAATCCGAGGTTTCACTGTCCGGGGACCGTAAGGGCAAGTAATTAGCTTGAATCTCACATATAAGGCTAAAAAAGGTTAAAAGAGTTGCACACTATTATGTACAAAACTGATGAAAATATGTTTATACCTTGTTCAGATGACAGTGAAACCTCAGATTCTCCCCCAGATTAATCAATTAACTCGCTGCTCATACAGATTCCAGCCATGACTGCTGTGAAAAGGATCATTCTCCTATATCATCCCTGCAATTTTGGCGCCCTCTAGCGTTTGTGAAAAAGTGCGACTTCAAAGCAGTTTTTTTAACATAATTAAACTTAACATGTCAAAATGAACACCCAAAATATTATAAACACATATTGTAGTTATATATTCTGGATAGCAGCATGGTAAATTCTAGTTTACCACTACTTTAATTACTGAAGACACATAGAAAAAGGGCAGACAAATGGTGGCCCTGCCTGGAACCAACCAACTCCAGGCAGAAAGTCATGCTCGTCTCTAAAGGAACAGGGGACCTGCACTAGACACACACATACCCGGGCTTGCTCAAGTGCATGTCTGGGGTTTGGTTGTAGACTGTTTTTTGATTGACCCAAACGGTGGCAGCAGGACTCTGTGGGTGTTTGATCTAAGGACGCATGAGCAGGAGAGAGAGGAGCGATGGAAGGCAGGAAGAATACAGAGAGGTGCAGGCATCATTTGGAGGCAGTTTGAACAGTAAAGGTGACTCTAGACTGAGCTAGCAGAGATCATGTGGAGGGTCAGGGCAGCAGACCAGCGCTGCACCCAAAAGCCACAGAAAAGCGGACAATCATTAATACCATCACTGAGCCCACACAAGGAGCCAGCTGTAACGATGGCCGGACTTTTCTGCTTACTCCTGCTGCAAGCTCAGTGATAGCATGAGCGATAATCCGCTTTTCTTTTGCTTTTTTTGGGGTGAACCGCTGGTCTGCTGCTCTGACCCTCCACATGGTATCTTGTCAGTTCTAGAAAAACCTTTACTGCTCAAACTAAGATTTTCCCTGGCTGTAGTCCTCCTGCCTTGTATTGCCTCAGTCTCTCCTGCTCACAGCGCTCAGACACTAAACTTTGACCAAGACACCCACAGAGCACTGCTGCCACCTGCTGGCACAATAAAACACAGTCTACAGCCAAACCCCAAACACACAGAAAATAGTGAAAAACCTTTCTTTTTTTCAATTCGCGTAATAATAAATCTATGGCAGTCAATGAGCTACGCACAGCTGACCAAAAAAGGGACAAATCATAGCAAGTTAAGTGTTAAGAGGCAAAACAATATTCAGTCATCATTTATGTCCTGAACGTACCTTCATGAACTTGACAACATGGTCAGTGGCGTCAGTTGCACTGATTCTCCCAAATTTTTTCCCCTTCTTGGTTGGAGGCAGGAGATGAACCAGGAGTAGGATAGCGGCCAAGTCACTGTCCCATCCTAGTGGATTAAAATGACAACACCCACATCCCATGAGTATACACAGTCACAGTTCTGGCAAACAATAGCCAACTTACCATAATCATTAGATCCCTCTTGAGCAGACAGAAGGTCATCCACATGGGGACCAGGGCGAAGGCATTTGCAGACACTGATGATCCTCGGTTTGTAGAATGTTGGCCATTTTGAAATAAACTTTCCTGAAGTGTCCTCTCCCAACAACAACGTGAAGTCTTGGTTAATCTAACAAAGACAGAAAACATGTCAAAACATGGTACCAGTGTTCCCCATTTCAGACAAAAAGGTCTCTGTCCCCCTCAGTCTGCTCTCGCTCCCCCTTCATCTGCTCTCGCTCCCCCTTCATCTGCTCTCGCTCCCCCTTCATCTGCTCTCGCTCCCCCTCTATTTGCTCTCTCGCCCCCCCTCTATTTGCTCTCTCGCTCCCCCTCTATCTGCTCTTGCTTGCCCTCGCCGCACCCCCCCCGGCTCTCGCTCCCGTCTTTGTTCCTCCCTGTTCTCGCTCCCCCTGTCTTTGTTCCTCTCTCTCTGTCCCTGTCTGCCCTGCACACCTTCCCTTCTGCTCTCTGTCCCCATCTGCTCTCGCTTCTTCCCTTCTGCTCTGCCCCCGTGTCTGCTCTCGCTCCTTCCCTTCTGCTCTGCCCTCTCTGCTCTCACTCCCCCTGTCTTTGTTCCTCTCTGTCCCCCTCTCTGCTCTCGCTCCCCCTGTCTTCATCCATCTCTGTTCCCTGTATCCCCCTCTCTCTGCTCTCTGTCCCCCCCCCCCCCCCCCCCTGCCATCTCTCTCTCTAATAACCCCCCTCCCTCCCTGGTGGGTACACAACACATTTAAGAATCCGAATATAAAGCTTCTCTCCATTTCTCTTACCAAACCTGGTGTATCCAGAAATCTGGGAAAGTGATCTAGGATGGCTGAAGACTGGTCTGGATCATGTAGCATACTCTGACGATGCTTGAAAGTTGCCTTCATCTTCTCCTTCACAACTGGTTGGTCTGCTGAATGCTTCATTGCAGATATTGCTTCTCTGCATTCATCTCCAGACAGCTGTTCAGATGTCAATGTTTCACGCAGGGTCTTGGGGCCATATTGTTCAGCAGACAACAGGTCTGGGGAGGTCCTCTTGGAATCACTCATTGTATTGCGCTGGACTGTCTTGAGTCTATAGGCCAAGTAACCTTGGCCACTGCGAGGATCATAGTAATGTTCCTATCAGACAAGAGGTAGAGTCAATATTCAAATCCATCAAAGTTGATGACTGTATCAGGACTTCAAAATAAAGCTTCTACATACGAACAAATAACAGTTTCCTGTAATACTCACATAACCAGTTGGTGACGCCTTATCCTTCAAATTGGGAAAAAGGGTGACTATTCCAAGGGCATAGGACACACGGACATTGAGAGGTGGGACTCTCCTACACCAAAGCAAGAGAATCAATTTGAAATTTAGCTTAAATAAGTTTTACATGCCTGGGGTAAAACTTGAGAACTGAGTAACAGATATTTGAAGTGTTCCAGTTATGAAGCAGACTACAATATTTAAAAAAGCATCAGTCTTTCAGAAGGGAAAGAAATGAAACGATATAGAAATGTTTGAAATAAATATGAAAAAACAATGGGGATATAAACATATATAGCAAATAAGATCATTAAAACATTCAGAGAATCCATGGTATTTAATTGATCACTTACCCATGACTCTCAATCATATCAGCCACCAGGATGTTAACGAGTTTCCTTCTCGTTTGATCAGAAAGGCCTTTGGTCATGTTGTACTCTTTCAATACGTCTTCACCTCCAGGTTTTTGATGTAGAGCTACTTAGACCATCTGTAATAGAGAAGTTTTATGTAAACTAATGCATTTTGAAAATGTTTTGACATCCTATTGACAATCTTAGAACTACTTACATCTTTCGCTGCCTTACTGTCAGGCGGTCCTTCTAACAGTTGCCTTCTCCATTTTTTTGTGCTTTGAGTAATTATAGTGGAGCCTGAACTCACAGAGTCAAGTGATGAGAATGACTCCACAGACACACTGGATAAGGATGACCCCTCATCTGAGCAGAAGGAAGCCTCAGAGACCTCTTTCTCAGCTAAGGGAATAAAGGTTTAATAGTATTTAACTTTAGTTGGAGAATATATGTTACATAAGGCAACATTACCAATATTGCAAATCATATTTGTATTAAAAAGAAAATAAATAATGTTTCTATTGATACCATATTAGGCGCACATAAAAGCTTTTAATTTTAACAAGTGCGCCTTATATGCCACTACACTCTGTATCATCATGTCACTGTGTCTTACCAGACTCCCCAGTGAACACCTTGAAAGACACTGCAGCAGATCTCACCAACTCATCAAAAATGTCAGCATCTACATCAACTCTTGATGAGTCTTTCAGGGCCACATCAGATTCATTTATCAGGTTGAATTTAGCTGAAACTATGATCCAAAACAATTAATGTAATTTCCAAACGATGAACCACAGATTATACAGTAGTTTTACCTTCTTGAATGAATTGAAAGTAATCATAGTGGTCTTCCTTCATTGGTACCCGAACCCATTTCAGGACACCCTTGCACTCCACTTGAACCAGCATTTCTTTGATAAAAAAATAAAATATACATGAATAAACAAATCTCAGACAGTGATTAAGAATAACATGAAGAAAATATAGCACATTTTGCAGCCTCTTTTCTTCTACCACTCCAAGTTGTCTACAGTTAAATGGTCTACAGAGGTCCAGGCCGTTACCTTGGTCCTTAAACCAGTCACGTAGTGGAAAGTGGTCCTTGTACTCAGGGTCAAGCTAACGTCCACGCTAGTTGCGGCTGAATTTGCTGCGGTGATATGCGAAATCCTAATTACAAAGCTTGCACCCAACCGTGCTCTTATAGACACTTCCATCCGTTCATTTTTTATCCAAAATCCCCATCCACGGGGCCAACCAAAGCTCATGTTTACCGAAGTTTGTTTTCGTCTGAAGTCATGAACGCACGTAAAATGAGTCCGCCGGAATTCTTTTCCAGAAAATAACGTTCCGGTGCAAAATTACGTGCAATTATAATGCGTACATTATTTAAGTCGTTATTTTTGGGTAATTGATAATCTTCCCGTGTTATAGCCCAGGCCCTAATATGTTAATCTATATTTATTTGAAATATCTGACTGATGGTCAGTGGGAACATTTTCGTATTGTATTAATTATATTCGACTTGACTACCAGGGGTCTGCACGCGCTCCCCGGCATCTCACGCGCTCCCCGTTAACTGATATATTACAACACAATACCGTTAGCTACATTAATTCACATATATTTGTCTATGTATTTAAAATAGTATGTATAGCAATTACGAAATAGTAAGCAACAGTTTACACACTTATTCTAAGTGCTACAATCCTATTAAGTTTCCCCTGTTCGCCAAATCTTTCCTAATTTAGCTAACTAGGCAACAATCATTATTACCAAGCCTTCTCTCGTTACATTCTCAGAATGCCACCCGTTTTCTTCCTTTACCTTTTATCGTAGTTTCTGTGGCTGTGACTACACAAACTCGGAAAGGTTGGAAAGACACTTCGAAAGAAAACTCCGCTTTTTCCAGGCCTCGAATGGCGAAAGACCGCGAAACCGCTAACGTTCATGGGATATGTAGTTTTTAATACTGCGTTAGCGTACTGCTCCCGCCACAAACTGCAAATTTCAGCTTTCAACTCTAACTAGCATTTTTTGTCTAATAACGTCACTATTTAAGTCCAACAATATACTCCCGTTTACACAGTAGGTTAGTTTCATTATTAGGGAGCAGACGTTCACCAACGTTATAACATGAGAGGGTCATGCTCAAATATTAGCTATAACCTAGCTATTACCTGATGCTACAATATAAAACTGACAGGTTGTTTGCATATTAGACTTAAGACTTAAGTCCTGAATACCCAGTCACACAGTCAAACAGTCAAATTAAGCACTTACCTCTACCGAATCGCAAATTCCCGTGAGAGATAATGGCGCAGATGAAAGTTTTTCGTCTAGATCACGTCAGTGACGGCCGTTACGTAGGGGCGTGGCTTAAATCTGCGTCAACACCATTGACTGTGTGAAAAACTTAACACTATGATTTGACAACTCAAATCTGTATCAAGCAACACTAGCAGTGCTATTTTATAACTGTGTGGTGTTAAAATAACACCAACACTCATTATTCAACACTGTCCCTAACATTTTAACACTCATATATTTGCTGTGTACAGTATGTAGAAATCTTTTGTAGTGACGAATGAACTGTGATTCTAGCCTATCGTTTGCCGCAAAGCAAGCAAGATTTGATAGCACCGATAGCACGCAACATTTATTGTGTTGTTCAGTAGGACTGTACAGGTAGTAGTCAGCGCGAAGTAACGCCACGTTTTCCACAAGAATGATGCCCAGCTGATTCACAGCGAAGTTGGAGACGTCAGTGTATCTTTGTACTTTCCAAACTTTTTTAGAGATCGGTGAGTAAGTGAACAAACAGTGATTATACATGCGCTACGACAGCGACATTACAGCGTTAGCAGCCCAGCTACTACTGTACACCTACAGTGCGTTCGTAGATCTTGTTAACGATAAAGATAAACACATTTATTCTACCAAATGTTATTAACAAGATAATAAGACCGCTGTGTCGTGCTAACGTTATTTACATCAATATCTCTGCCGTTTAGAGGGGCGACAGTGGCTCAGTTGGTAGAGCATTGGCCTTTCAGCCTGAAGGTCGTGGGTTGGAGCCCACCATGAGAGCGACTCCCACTGATGTCTGCTGTAGTTGTGTCCTTGGGCAAGACACTCAAACCCACTTTGCCTGAAGCCCCCACTGAAAGATCAAGGCTATGCCATAGAGCGGCCAACCTCCTGTGGACTCACCACCGGCAGGAGGATCAGTGAGGGGCTGGTGCTATGTGTACTAGTTGGCATCTCTGCCATCCCCCCATAAATGGATTAAGGGGTAATAATAATGCATTTTTTGGACACTCAAAGACGCTTTACATGTAATTATTCTTTCACTCCATACACAGTGGTGATTAGGGTTTCCAACTGTCCCTTGAAATACGGAATTGTCCCGTATTTTAGAAAAACTATGTGCGTCCCATGTTGAATGGATACGGGACGGCTTTTGTCCCGTATTTTCAGAGCCGCCTTAAATGCATCACTCACCCACTGCATGTCACACGCTCGACACACGAACACACAGTAATCACAGTTTAAGCGTCGACCTTTCGGCCAATCAGTGTCAAAGTGGCGTAGGCTTGATCACATACATTGTTTTAATGTTGACAATCGTCAGCGTGGGCCGTGACCCCAGCATCATCACAGCAGAAGTTTGGTAAAGTAGCGTCATATTCCCAGATTTGGATATCCGAGGTCAAAAGCGCACGAAAGCTACTTTACTAAAAAAAAGTAAATTGTACTAAAATGATCATCTCTACGTTGATTTTTCAAATCCAGTGCGCGGTTTTAATGCAGAGAAATCCTCTGAATCCAGTGCACTGCAAGCGTCGAGAAAAGCGCTTAGGGACCGTCAACGTTTTGCACTTTACAGCCGCAGCCGCCCCTCTGCGGCTGGTGTTCCCAGAGGTTAAGTGTCTTGCCAAGGACACAACGACAGCAGACAGTGGGAGTCGATGGTGAAAGTCGGGCTCGAACCCACGACCGTCTGGCTCAAGGGCCAATGCTCTACCAACTGAGCTACTGCCACCCAGGTAAAAAATGAATGGATGCATGGAACTCCGCCGTTAACACACAACAGGCCCGTCATACATATAACAACCATCACAAATATGGGTGGGAACCTCAGGGAACGTCACGATACGATACGATACACGATACAAAGCTCACAATAACAATTATATCTTGATAACGATTATATCACGATAACGATTATATCACGATATAATGGTCAGAAATATACCCTATGCCAATTTATGGCATAAATTAAAGAAACATTTTAAGTGAAAAAAATACACTTTATTTCATGATAAATGGAATGGAGATGCGCAATGTAGTCGTATATTAAATATTGATACAGATTTTTTTTTAAAGAATACTTTCTCCCGCAATCAATTATTTGCGGATCACAGTATCACTCCTAATCCAAATAACAATAACAATATTTCATTGCTTTGTAAAATACATGTATTGTAATAACTTTAAATTGCACTATATGTATTGTAACTGCACTCCGTAGTATTGTTCTGAACAAGTTTAATGACAGTAAAGTTGAATCTAATCTTCATAATTAGGTCTTCAAATGGAGCCACGTTGTCATAAAATATCTGATTCTCTCAGATTCTCATGAAACCACAAGCGCGATCGTGAGAACAGACCATGGTGCAAACCACTTTCTTTACAGGAAGTCCTCGATAGGGCCAAGAAATCCCTTTCACAGAGTAATGCACTCTAAGAAATAAGGTGTTGGATTTAATTGATAAAGTTATGTCAAACTTTTCCACAAAACTCAGTCAATTAATTGTGTAATAACAATGTTGTTATCTGCAACCTCTATGGTCTCTTATATCTGTAAGAAAAGAAATTACTTGCCCTCACGGAGACCTGGTAAGCAACCTTAATTGTATTAAAAAGACAATGGGCTCTGTTCCAGCCACCTCGAGCCATAGACTTCAAAAGATGCATTTGTTGCCACCCCAGGGACTTCAAAGACACCACCCGCTGGCGCAGACAGCCAGAGACTTTGGATTTACTCACTACCACCCCTAGCGGACGCGGGACGCCAATACATCTGAAACGGACTGTGGACAAATACATTGTTTTGTGAAAGTCTTAATCAGAAACGTGTGTATCCTGTCTGTAATGAAATTGTGTGTTCCTATGTCAAAATAATGTGTGTGCTGTTAATGATGTAATGCAAACCTGCGCATGTGCGTCTCACGGCAGCCGAAGCAATCCAAGATGGCGGACATGGAGTCCGCAAATTGCTCTAAAAATTAAAATACGAACAAATTAAGACACAAAAATCACTTTTAATGCAATTTGAGGCAAGATGTTGATATGCGTTGTGATATGTGTGTTTTGAGAGTAAGAGTTTTGTGTAAAGTTTGTTTTAAGCAGTCCACTGCTCCTGTGAAATTACACTGCTACTGTTATGATAGGAGTCCCTGAGTTGACTGCTGCAGACGTCATTTTACTGACGAGGCCCATGACGCGTCCTGTGACTGGTCTGTCGGGTTGATAATGGAAATAAGATAAGATAAGATTTGCTTTATTTATCTCACATAGGAGAAATTTACATAATACATTTAATTTAATGCATGTATCATACTGTATTCAATATGATTCACTATAGTGTGTTCAAACGAAATATTTAATTAGATCTAGTTTTTTCCCCATTCTAGCAGATTTCTGCACATGCACACATTAGATTTGGGTACACTAGCAGTGTAGTTTCACAGGAACAGTTGACTGCCTAAAACAAAATTTACACGAAACTAACTCTTAAAACCCACATATCACAATGCGGAACCATCAACATCTCGCCTCAAATTACATTAAAAGTGACATTTGAGATAATATATGCAGTCTATGCGTGAGACGCGCAGCGCAGGTTTGCATTACATCATTAACAGCTGAGGCAGATAATCTCGACGGGCAGACCTACTCGACAGAACACCGGCAGAAACGCTCTCTTTGGAAAATGTAACTTCATACAACCCGCACTTTGAAACCTGCTCTCTCTGTAACCACTGGGTCTTTTGTCACGTGTATTTTTGAGCTGGACTCAACGTAAAAGCCACGGCCAGGCAAGCGTGACAGTGTAACCATCCGTTCAATAAGCTGAACTCTCTCTCGCTCTCTCTCCGGACCGCAACCCGAAAGTACAGCAGCCGTTGTTTTGGACTCTCTCTCTGAACTCGTTCTGTGAAGGACAGCCGTACGCGCACATTCTCGACGCGTGTGAGTACGCCCGAGAAAGGAAAGCCTTCGTTCAACCATCACTGCGGCCACCTATCCTGTCCTGTTCAGAACAACAGCCGCATGTTCCTTCGCATCCACAACACGCTGGGAGGGAGCCAGAGACTCGATAAACGACCAGTCTTCTCACAGTAAGACTAAACTAAACCCTGTATTGGTTGTTGTTGTTATGGTTTGGAATGTGATTTGAATTATTCTGGTTTCATGTGACTAAATCCTTCGTTACTCTACCCCTTTCCTGTGTTTAGTTAATAAAACTAGAGCTATAAGCAGCTTCTTTATCACAATCAACTCGATTTCCCTGACAGATTAGACCTCTAAACCTCCAGATTATTACGCTGATCAAGGCATAGATCTAGCATAGTAGTATTGCAGGATTTTACCCTGCTGGTGCCCTATAAACTTTAATCTATAGCTACACTAGAGTGGTGTGACTCTCAAGAGCAACACTTTGTGGTGGCTAAAACCAGCATAAAGTTTGCTCTGAGACAATCATCACTCAGCTGACATTAAAGCTTGGATGCGACATTGAAGTTGTCAGTCTTATGCGTCAGAGAGGTTTAAGCAACAGCAGCAGTCAACTTAAAAGTCAACTTCAGGAGCAACATGCAGAGAGGTGGCTAGAGCAGCAAATTCAATTCCTCACACAGTACAGAATTGCCCAGGCTGTGGTGAGCAGACTCATTTTACCTGTTCCTCTGTGGATGTGCCACCTATGCCCATTGTGCCAAAACACCACTGCTTAATGCAGGTTTATGCACAAGATGTCCTGAGCAGATTAGGAGAGGTAAAGGCTTCCATCACATCCCTGTATTGGATTTTTTTAAAGAAAGATTGTTAGGAAACTAGCTGGTTCTGCTCATTCTTCTGCTGCCTGGGCTAAAAATGTTGGAAATGACTTTGGACAAGTCATCATGTCTGTGCTCACAGCGATTGAGGGCTGGGGACTTGAAAAAATGGCAGAGGGCCTTGCAAATATATACAAACAGGCCAACATTGCTCCCCCACGAGTACTTTACACAGATTGAGACTGCTGTAAAAACTCCCACTTGAACAAGATCTTTGGTGGTTGGCCAAACCTGTGCATCCGTCTGGATGTGTGGCATTTCATGAGGAGGATTGCTGTTGGATGTACCACAGACTCACATCCACTTACTGTACAGTGGCTTCATGGCTCAGCTGAGCCGCTGCATACTTGTGTGGGACCAGAGTGATCTTTAGCGGCTCATTGAGGCCAAGCGTGCTGAGCTTGAGACCTGTCATTTACATCCATCGGATGATGACGTGATGAAGAGCATCACAAAGAAAGAGATCCAACTCCATTGCAAGAGAGCTGTGCGGCCAGCTGCAGAGATGGAGGTCATGTTAGAACAGTTACTTGCAGCCTATGATGGAGGTCGTGGCTGCAACTCTCTTGGTGTGCCACTTATAAACTCTGCCAGAAAGAAAGAGATCTGGAAAGTACAACGCCGCCACCTTCCCTGCCTTCAGGACCCACCAGGCTCCCAGCTTTACACCCAGACTGGCACATTCACCAAGGCTGGCCATGTTCTTTCCACATTTCGCTGTGCTCATGGTTCAACTTCCACTTACACATGAATCGATTCATCCTAGGTGAAAATAAAGAAATAACAAGAATATTGTTACGGACAAAGTCCTTTGGTTTTGGTTTTGTGTTTCTCCTTGCCTCCTCCTGTCAGACCCTCCCACCTCCAGCCGAGTCAAGTCCCACTCACAATCAGCTGGGAGGCATAAAGGGCCTGGATACAGACCAGGCTCACTCTCTCTTCCACTTCGACCGTCCGTTGGACCAGTGGGTCCTGCGTCTGCACCTCACCTCCACTGAGCATTTTGTTATTGTGATCAGAACAGTGGTTCTTTTGCACATTTATAATAAACCTTGTTACTTTTTCAACCTCCGCCTCCCGTCTCTGTTCCACACCCATAAACATAAACCAATATTAATTTATTGATTTCTAATTATATAATATTTTGACAGTGTACGTAATGTTATTTTAGGCACACTGGCAAGTGACATATTCTTCCAGGCCTATTTGATGGATGGTCTTGCAAGGTGGATTGAAGACCGTTCAATGGCAGGTCAGAAAGAGGACAAACCTTTCTACTACAGTGGCCTTCTCCGATATGCTGTTAACCAGCTATCACAAGAGATGTTTTTTGTCTTTTAAGAGAACTCCTGGGCATTGAGTACTTGTGTGATCAAAAAAATACTGTGATGGAGGAATATGAAATGACTCTGGCGTCTATGGAAATGTAGGACATCGATTCACTTCCTGATGTAATTGTAATGCACATTGAATATGTCATTTTCTTGGCGCAGTTGGTAGCGCAGTGGCCTTTGAGCCTGAAGGTCATGGGTTCAAGCCCACCACAAGACTTTTCCACCGACTTCCACTGAGGTCTGTTGTCGTTGAGTCCTTGTGCAAGACCCACTTTGCCTAAAATCCCCGCTGAAAGATCAAGGTTGTGCTCTCACAGACAGAGCAGCCATTCCCCTGTGGACTTGCCACCTGCAGGAGGATCAGTGAGGAGCTGGTGCTACGTGACTTGGGGGGCATCTCTGACTGCCACCCCCCAGACCCAGAAATGGATTAAGAGGTCGAAAATCGATGGAGGGATGGAACATGTATTTTCTAAAAGGGAGTTTACACTGTAGGCGGTAACAGCGCGTACACGTTGACTGCGCGCTGTGGTGACAGTTTTTGGAGTAATTACATAAAACCAGCCGCAGCAAATACACGGACGTCAAAGGCCTTTTATCAATGCAGAGACGCCCTTCTGACGCCATGCTGAGCTTTGTGAGGGCCCCCTGCTGTCTGTCACACCCTTGTGTCTTTCGTATCTTGAATCTGTATGCCTGCTTCTATCCATATGTCCCTGCTGCCAGGAAGGAGCCGGGCCCCCCCCGACACCTACAGACAATGGCGATCACTCTTGCCCCCTTTCACCTCTTGCATATGTATCGGTCTGTATGTGTGCACTTCCTACATCCTGCAGTCTGTTTGCATCCCTATGCGCCTCCTGCACCGGTGGCCCCCCTCCCATCTGTTGTGGGCGGGACTGGCTTTCGTGTGTGTCTTGTATACAGGAAGCTCGGGGCTCTGGCCCCAGAGCTGGTACATGCTGCCTTTTGTGTGTGTGTGCTGGCTCTCCGCACGTGCGTTAACAATAAACTTACGCTTTTGATCAGACAAAGGACCTTTGAGTTTTCTCCTTCATGGGGTATATAATTCTACAACAGCGCATATGCGCGTAACATTATTTTGGTGTATCTACACTGGCCGTGCGCGCAGGTCTGCGGCTTCTGATGCTCTCGCTGTGTAGTCTATGGAGCAGTATAGAGGACAGTACGGGGCAGAGGACTGATGTAGAGCAACACAAATCACATGAATGTGTTTGTCTTCATGGTCTATGTGCGCTGGTTTGGCCAGACGCGAGACTTTATGAATGAAAAAAAAAGATGTCCAGAATCACTGTAAAACCTGCCATTCCTCCTGCTAATATTTAGATACAAGTGCTGTGTGTGTGTAGATGCAATCTAAAGCCAAGGGCTGCTAGAAAAATCATGTTTCACATGTGTTTTCAATGGGAGACGCGTTGCTGCGCGCACAAAATTAGAAATCCATCCTAAATTAGGCGCAGCCTCGCGTCATACGTCCGTCATACGCGCGTATAACGCAAGGAGTGTAAATATCATCATAGGATTGGCATGGTAAAAAATTACACGCGTCTGCTGTGCGTATAACACGTACGTACTTAACGCGTCCTGTGTAAATTAGTAGTAAGACTTTCAGAATAGCCTTTTCAGGTGGAAACCATAATTGCATTATATTTCATCAGGCAAAATGGAAAAATTGATAATAAATGTAAATGCATTTTTCTTATTAGCTGAGAAGGTCAAATACCTGCTGACCATTGCAGGTATGCAGCGAAACACTTCTGAAAAGGTCAATAATTTGTTCACACTGAAAAGGCTATTGAGGGTATGCTTTATTCAGTGATGTCTAATATTGTAAAATTGTGAAAGCAGTTTTTCAGCAGGTTGACTTTTTATCCTAAAACTTTTGAGTTTTTGATCATTTTGTAGCGGGACTGCATGTCCACATTAGAACACATTATTATAGTCATAAAAGACAATTCTTTTGTCGGCCATCCATGACTCTATTCTTATTACATTTTGTACATTTGAAATCTAGATACAGAAAAAACGTTTCTCTTTTGGATACTGGGTAGTGTGATGGTGGTCCTTCCTTTTTCACTTTACGGCCTGAAAAAGCAGATCGACAGCAACACCATGTGCATGTGAAAACTATTGATAGACCGAAATAGTTTAAGAGCCAGAAACGTATTAGTCTGAAAGTTAACAGTTATCTTGGCTTAGTTCCGGTTCAGGCCTTGTTCATTCCAGATTCAGCGCCGGTCTGGGTCTTGACTCATCCCTGGCTCAGTCCTGGCTCAGTTCTGGCTCATCCCAGGTTCAGTCCTGGTTCAGCCCTGGTTCAGGATCCGTTGCAGCCTTACCGACTCACATATCGCTGTAGTATTCTCAGTAATGCCAATGATAGTACATATACAACATCCAATCCTTTGAAAGAGAATCGTTAAGATTCTTCAAATGATGAGGGGTTCATGTGAATTACAAGCTCTCTGTTGCTTTTTCAGTCTTTGTTGGTCTCTATGGCGATGGCAGGATTGCATTTCAAGTACAGTAAAGGCAGGTGTAGAAGCACAACAATATTTTCTAAACTTAAAGACACAAGCTGGAGGTTTATATGTTCATTTTAAAATGTTGCTTATATCCAGCAATTGAGTCTGTAAGTTTGGCGCAATTAAAATACTGTATTTTTAGCACCATTAGGCGTGGACAAAAGTCTTTATTTGTAACAGTGTGCCTTATAATCTGGTGCCCCCATGCATGAATTTCCGACTGTGTTTACAGACCGAGTTATACACTCTAAGAAATAAAGTGTTGGATTTAATTGATAAAGTTATGGCAAACTTTTCCACAAAACTCAGCCAATTAATTGTAAAGTAATTGTGTTGTTATCTGCAACTTCTATGGTCTTTAATATCAGAAGTAAAAATGTTAATTAAATGCAACAGCTTTGCACGATTACATTCTAATGAATGCTGTTAAATGGTTATTGACAATGTTATGTTGGATTATATTAACAAAATGAATTTGGATTTAAGTGCATCACTTGCATTGTGCTTTGGATTTAATTAACACTATTAGTTATGATTTAATCAATACTATTAATTATGATTGAATTAACATCATTTTTTTGATTAGGGCTGTCAAACAATAGACATTTTTAATCGAGTTAATTACTGATAAAAATCAATTAATCGTAATTAATCGCAAAATTATGCCATATTTTTCTGTAAATGGTTGTTTGAATGTAAAGATAAATGACAACATAGTGTACATACTGTATTTGTTTATTATAACAACAATAAATCCCCATAAATTGACATTAACATTATTAACATTCTTTCTTTCTGTAGTAGACTCAGACCAAAACTATAGGAGGATCTTTGTTTACACCCGCATGCGCCCCTGCCGGCAAGAAGGCAGAGCGGCACATACTGAAGCATGGATACGACAAGTACTTTTAAAAGACTCAGTGGGCGAATAGCACTGTATATAAGCACTTTAACACAAGAAGATCAGAGGCAATATATAGACAAGCTAAAAATATATATGAGACCGAACTGAACAAATCCAAAGCCCATATGAGACCTGGGATGACGAGAAGAAACATTGGTCAGACTCACCTCTGTCTTGGCCTCGATCTGCTGCCGCTTTTCCACAGTATCAGTACGGTACAGTACAGTACGCTTCAGCACGGTTATTTTGCGTTTCCACTAGTGGATGGTATGGGAGATTTGAGTACTTTTCCGTACTGCCTCAGCCGTGGTTCCATCCCCATAGTACCCGTGCCATGACGTCACGTCGTGCCACTGCCTTACGCTGATTGGTCAACGAGTGTCGTCACTGGAAGCGACATCTGACCCTTTGGGAAAAACAACTCAACCGCCATCTTTAAAACCGGCTGTTCTGCTCGGCTCTGCTTCGGCTACATTACGTCCTCCTCACTCCAGAGAAATGGAATTGCACAGAAAGCCCCAAAAGCCCTGGTCCTGGTCGGTGGACGAGGTCCACACGTTCCTCTCTTCAGGCCAAAAGAAAGAATTCAAAGGCAGCTCGAGGCTCAACACAGTTTTTGGGGAGATCACCC